CCACTGCACTCCAGTCTGGGTGACAGAGTGAGACTCCAACTCAAAAAAAAAAAAAAAATAGTAGGATGTGGTGGTGCATGACTATAGTTCCAGCTACTTGGAAGGCTAAAGCTGAAGAATTACCTGGGTCCAGCAGGTAGAGGCTGCAGTGGCCATGAGTGTGCCACTGTACTCCAGCCTGGGCAATAGAGTGAGACTCTGACTAAAAAAAAAAAGAAAAGAAAAATGGGATTTCTTTCCCTATCAGATGGAAACCTAAGGACACTGAGAGACTGACGACTAATATAAAACCACAGACAACGTAAAACTTAATTTTTTTACTAGTATATAAAGGAATGACACTATATTGCAGGAGTTGGCTAACTTGGGCTCACTGCTTGTTGTTTTGCAATTTTATCAGAATACAGCCACATTGATTTGTATATATAATATCTACCGCAGAAAAGAGAAATAGCCGAGAAAGAGACTGCATGATTCCTTTTTTTTTTTTAATTAGAGTCTCACTCTGTTGCCCAGGCTAAAGTGCAGTGGCACACTCACAGTCATTGCAGCCTTGACCTGCTGGACTCAGGAAATCCTTCTGCCTCAGCCTTCCAGGTAGCTAGAACTACAGGCACATACCACTAAGACCAGTTAATTTTTTTGATTTATTGTAGAGATGAGGTCTCATCAAGTTAACCAGGCGATATTGAACTCTGTGCTCGGGCAAATCTCTCACTTCTGCCTCCCAAAGTGCTGGGATTTCAGGCATGAGCCAACGCGCCCGGCTGAGACTGTATGACTCTTAATGCCTAAAATATTTATTATCTGGCCCTAGATTAAAAGTTTACTGACTCCCACTCTTCATTAATATATACAAAAATACCTGTATGCTTCAGAGACTAAACACAGGTATCGGGGTTGCACTGTAATAAAAAGGAAGAATCAGACTTGGTAGTTCCAATCCCTTTCCCTACAAAGACAAACTGTAGAAACGATCAAGAATGTTACTGAGTTAATAATGTATTCTGACCAAATGTCCAGAAGACTAGACTGAGATACCAAACTACAGAAGTATGTCACCATATCTGGCTAATATTTTTTATTTTTTTGTAGAGACAGGGTCTCACTATATTGCCTAGGCTGGATCTCAAACTCCTGGGCGCCAGGGAATAAGTGCCCAAAAAAATGAAAGTATACAACAGAAATTACATTTTCTGTATTCAGGTTTTTTCTTCCAAGAATAGAAGAATATCAATCCAATGGTAGATTTTCTTCAGTATATTATGTTTAATCAATGAACAGTTTATGGAACCAACTGTTCATTGATTAAACATTTGACAATTTAAAATATACCTATGCCTTCTGATCAGTGGTGAATAAAGAAAAATACCTAAACATTAGATTTCTTATATTATTCCATCCAGCTTTGATATCTAAATATCTGTTTCTATTGTTGTTTTTTTGTTGACGTCTCACTCTGCTGCCCAGGCTGGAGTGCAGTAGCATGCTCACAGCCACCATAGCTGAACTTAGGTGATCCTTCCACCTCAGCCTTCCAAGTAGCTGGAACCACAGGCACACGCTACCACATCGGCTTATTTTTTTATTTTACTGTAGAGACAAGGTCTCACCAAGTTGCCCAGGCTAGTTTCAAACTGCTGAGCTCAGGTAATCCTCTTGCCTCTGCCTCCCAAAGTGCTGGGATTACAGGCTTGAACCACTGTGCCCAGCTGCTTCTATTTTTTAAAGTTCTTAATAATTACACAGCATGAAATTTCACCTTTTTTTAAGAGATGGAGTCTTGCTATGTTGCCCAGGCTGGTCTTGAACTCCTGGCTTCAAGCAATCCTCCCACTTCAACCTCCCAAAGTGTTGATACCACAGGCTTGAGCCACCACATACAGCCTAAATTTCACTTTACAGTAATTTAATGGCTAATTTCTCCTATAACTCAGTAAACTTTTTAATGTGCTGCTATTTATATTTTTCCTTTAATCTATTTTTATAAAGAATCCTACCAAAAAGGTTACAATGAATGTGGAATTTTGGAAAAAAAAACCAAAGATGTAAATGATAATATAAACACAAAATACAAACTTGTCCATTTCTCCAACTTCATATGGATATATTCTGCAATCAAAAAGCATAGATTTTAACACTGTATCTGGAATATTTTTTTTCTTTTTTTTTTTTTGAGACAGGGTCTCACTCTGTTACCCAGGTTGGAATGAAGTAGAATAACAATTGCAGCTCACTGCAACTTCAACCTCCTGGGCTCAGGTGAACTTTCTACCCCAAGTAGCTAAAACTACAGGAGTATGTCACCATATCTGGCTAATATTTTTAATTTTTTTATAGAGACAGGGTCTTACTATATTGCCTAGGCTGGATCTCAAACTCCTGGGCTCAGGCAATCCTCCCACCTCCTTCCAAAGTGCTGAGATTACAGGCATGAGCTACCGTGCCAGCTTAGAATACTTTTAAAAAACTAAATCAGTTCAAGTGCAGTGGCTCACACCTGTAATCCTAATACTTTGAGTGGCCGAGGCAAGAGAATCCCTTGAGCCCAGGAGTTCAAAACTAACTTGGGCAACATAGCAAGATATCATCTCTATAAAAATAAAATAAAAATAAACTTTAATTTTTAAAAACTCAATTGTCAGCCAAGCTCAGTGGCTCAGCCTGTAATCCCAGCACTTTGGGAGGCCGAGGCAAGAGTACTGCCTGAGCTCGTGGATTCAAGACCAGCCCAGGCAACTTGGTGAGACCTCACCTCTACAATAAATCAAAAATTAGCCAGGCATGGTAGCTCACGATGGGTAGTTCCAGCTACTTGGAAGGCTGAGGCAAAAGGATCACCAGAGCCCAGCATGTTGACGCAGGGGTGGCCATGATCATGCCACTGCACTCCAGCCTGGGAGTTGAGACCCCAACTCAAAAAAAAAAAAATACAATTCTCAATTTGATACAGGTCTTTTTCATGGCCTAGGGATACACAATTGCCTAAAAGGTGAGACATTATGCAAGCTGTAATATCAGGAACTTTACCTAAGTTGTGTTACGAATACCTAGGAAATGATAGTTTAATAAAAGCCTTTTGAGAAAATCAGGCACCTGGAAGATGATTTCGAGTAATCTCTGCCCATATTTGAGCCTGAAGATGTCGGTTCAATATCTTCATTTTGTTTTCTTAATTCTTTTTCTCTGTTAATTTCTTCCTCTTTTTCTCTTGCTTCTGAAAAAGTTTTAAAATTTCCAACAGTTAGACTTCAAAACATGTCAGTATTAGAGTGCAGAAAAATAACACTGTTAAAAAGATTCAACTTAAAATGTTACTAGCAACAGCAAAAAGTTATCAACCTGCAGTACAGCCACTGTAGAAAACAGAATGGTAGCTCCTCAAAAAGTTAAACATAGGATCATCACTATGATCCAGGAATTCCACTTCCAGGTATATGTACAAAAAATTTGAAAGCAGGGTCTTGAAAAGATACTTGTGCATGCATGTTCATTGCTGCATTATTCATAATAGCTAAAATATACAAACAACAAAAGTATCTATCCATGGATAAAAGGATTTGAAAAATGTGGTAAACAATGAAATATTATTCAACCTTAAAAGGGAATAAAATTTTGCAATAATGCTACAACTTGGTTAAACTTCGAGACCACTATATTAAGTGAAATTCTAGATGATGCCATTTAACATGAGGTAACCTAGTGGAGTAAAAATCAGGGACAGAAAGTAGAATGGTGGTAACCAGGGGCTAGATGGAGAAGGAATGAGGAATTACTGTTTTATCGGTAGAGAGTTTTAGTTTTCCAAGATGAACAGGGTTATGAAGATGAATGGTGGTGGTGTTTGCATAACACTATGCACTTAAATATTGTGAAGATGTTAAATTTTATGTTATGTACATTTTACCACAATTAAAAAAATTAGAAAAATATTATCAACCCAAATGGCCAATATGGGAAAGATTGAATAAAATTACCACATATCAGCATATTATAAAATGTAGCCAATAAAAATATTGATAGAAAAAATTAAATAAATAAATAAATAAATATTGGGCAGCCCCCTCAGTTCCCCACCCACTGTGGGAACTTTTTTGTCTCTCAATAAATTCTGCTTTAAAAAAAAAGAAAACATTAAAATCTGGGAAAATATTAATAGATATGCTAAGCAAAATTAGCATAACATAAATGGTGACATATAAAAAAGAAAAATATTCAAAGGTGAGATTTCAGGTAACTCACTTTTTATTTTTAACATTTTAAAACATAAATTCAGCACTTCATTCATTTCTGGATTTCCTAGACTAGATTTTTGGTTAGAGACTATCTACTAAAATAATGAGAAAATTTACATTAGGTTTCTAGAGTTGTTTACTTTAGAATGACAAAAAGTATCAAAAATGTAATTTTCTTCCTCTGATACTCCACCCTACAATTGTGGGGGCATTAGGAAGGAAAAGGAATAGTTTGGTTCTCAATCACCCGAATAACCTGAGGTAATCTTTAACATTTTTTTCCTTCATTTAATAACAAAACAGCACATTGCAAACCCAAAGTTAAACAGTAACAAAGGGCACTTATTAATCTGAGTTGTGTATTATTTCGGGTCTTCTGTTGCTGGGACATGGAGGATGAGAAACAAAATTAACTGGCAAACATCAACAAGGAATTATAGTCTTTCAAGTCTAACATAGAAGACACACCCTCCAGGAAGAGGTAAGGTGAATGCCATAGCTCTAGCTCATGTCAAGTTTTTATGTCTCCACTGGGTTGAGGTAGGTCAAGAGTGCACCAATTCTGCACTCTGATATTGGAGGAGTTTAAGGAAAAAATTAAAAGGAAGTACAGTGTCCAGATTTAAGAATAAGCCTGCTAGACTCCTATCTCACCTCGCTTTTTCAGCTAATCCCTCCACACACCTGGGGGTGGCAGAGGCTTTTGTATTCCAGACTCACCTTTTTCCTCAGGTCTTTGGATCAATCCTATCCCTAATCAGAAGACACTGATACTCAGCTGCCATTTATCTTTTTTTCCTTGCTAAGAAAACCACACTTTTCTCTAGGTAAGAAGCAGCATTGTGCTTCAGGAGCTGCTGTGCCCTTCCCTGCCCAAAGGATGGAGCTTGATTTCAAGACAAAACATAATGCCCCACCAATGGCTGCTTTAGGACTGATGTGCCATATGATACTAGCTAATAAAATGTGAGGGGACATCTATTAGAGGTTCATTTGAGAAAGATTTTCTTACTCCTGAACAGATATATAAGACAAAACAGTCTCCTTTCTGGCTATGATCTTCTGTACTTAACACTGAGAACTTCTCGCCAGGCACAGTGACCTAAGCCTATAATCCCAGCACTTTGGGAGGCTGAGGCAAAGTGGATTGCCTGAGCTCAAGGGTCCGAGACCAGTCTGGGTAACTTGGTGAGACCTTATCTCTACAATTATTAAAAAAATAATCTGGGCATGGTAGTACACACCAGTAGTTCCAGCTACTTGAAAAGTTGAAATGGAAGGATTGCCTGAGCCCAGATTGTTGAGGCTGCAGTGGCCATGACCATGCCACTGCACTCCAGCATGGGTGACAGAGTGAGACTCCAACTAAAAAAAAAAAAAACTTCTGAAAACTTGGGATTATGAGAAGAGTCTTCTGAGAAGGACAAGCCAACAACTTAAAGGTGGCAAAGCAGAAAAAGAAGAAACACCTCATGTCCTTGTCAGGACTCAGAAAAGCTCCATTCTAGAATTTTTGTCATATGAGGTACTCATTTTTCTTATTTGAGTCATTTTTAATAAGGTCTTCTATGTCTTCCTTGCTAGTAAACAAAAGCAGCTTACCATCAGCTTTACCAAAAATAATAGCAGCAAATACATATAGTGAGCTATTTACAAGGTATTGTTTTAAGCACTTCTATAATTGAGCTCCTTTAATCCTCATATCAACATCTGAAGTACATACTATTATCCCTACTTTATGGTTGAGGAATCCAAAGCATAGAGAAGTTCACTAACTTGCCTAATTAACAGAGGTTTTAGCTACCACAGCAGTGAGTTGAGGTCTGGCTCCACAACTGCATCCCTCCTTCTTGTTGTGACCAGACTTTTTTTTTTTGAGCTGGAGTCTCACTCTGTCACCCAGACTGGAGTGCAGTGGCCACTCCAGGCCACCGCAGCCTCGACCAGCTGGGCTCCGGCAATCCTTCCGCCTCAGCCTTCCAAGTAGCCGGAATTACAGGCATGCGCTACCACGCCTGGCTGATTTTTTGATTTATTGTAGAGATGAGGTCTCGCTGCCTAGGCGGGTCTCGAACCCACGGGCTCAGGCAATCCACTCACCTCAGCCTCCCAAAGGCGCAGGATTAAAGCCTGAGCCACCGAGCCCGGCTTGACCAGACTTTCAAGAGACTCTGAAATTATCCAACAAGCACCACCTATCATATATATAGTAGCCCTCTCTCCAAAAGACTGTAAAGTACAGACCTTCACTGATTGTACACCAGACTATAAAAACTGTGACCCACCCACCTGTCTAACTAGAATTCCCCACCAATAACCCCCTCTCAACCTGTCTTAATTAGAATTCCTCACAGGTGGGTAAATACGCCAAATTTTCTGCCTTATTCTGGTGAAGCATCTAATATTTGAATATTTAATTTGTTCATACTAGCAAAGATTCAACATTTTCTATTCAAACATGTTCCCACTGCTACCTGCTGTTTTGTTAAACTAAGAAAAAAAAAGAGAAGACATTTTAGAGGGAAAAAAAAACCATTTATTTTTTCATTGCGGACCAAGGACAAAAACCAAAGCAAAACAGAATTCAACAGATTTTTGAGTTCCCTAACAGGAGATTGATTCACTCATTTTTACCCAATATGGAACCAAGCATACTGTAAACATTCTAAATATGCTATCTTTTCTTAAGAAAAGTGAATGAAGCTATTCCCCAATGCCTTTTTTTTCCCTCCAAGCACCTCATTTTATTATAGCAGTTTTCTCTACTTACAAATAGCTACCAATTTTGGATAACTACTTCTGCAAAAGTACCCCACACATATGCAACTTTTATCTAAGAACAAACTACCCAAAACTACCATGTCCCATCTGGACTGACTTATACAAACTACAGATTCCAAGAAATGTAATTCAGCACCTGAAATTTTCAGAACTAGTCACTACAGCAACCACTTAACTAGAAATAAGTGAGAGTTAAGATAAAATGTCAAGGAAATAAAATTACTAGAAATATAAGTTAGAATAAAAGTTTTCTAAGTTCCTAGTACAAAGAAAATTATTACGAAAAAAAGGAATTGTTTTCTAATCATGAATTCTTTTGTGTGTGTGTGTGTTGGAGTCTCACTCTGTCGCCCAGACCAGAGTGCAGTGGCCGCTCCCGGCCACTGCAGCCTCGACCTGCTGGGCTCCGGCAATCCTTCCGTCTCAGCCTTCCGAGTTGCCGGAATTACAGGCATGCGCTACCACACCCAGCTGATTTTGATTTATTGCAGAGATGAGGTCTCGCCGCCCAGGCGGGTCTCTAACCTGCGGGCTCTGGCAATCCACTCACCTCAGCCTCCCAAAGGCGTGGGATTACAGGCTGAGCCACTGAGCCCGGCTATGATATTCTTTTTACCCATGGAACTTAAATCTTGCTAAGTTGTCTTTCTTTTTAGTTTATAACAATTTACTAGCTTATCAATTTCATTAAAATGTACATTTAATTTTAAACCTATATAATACCAAAATACTAGAAAGTCAAAAATTAGATGAGAACACTTTAAATACATTACATTTCTCCATTAAATATTTAAGAATGTAACTATTATGTGCCATGCTCTGTATTAGGTACTGTAAATATAAAAATGAAGAACAAGGACAGGGGCAGTGGTTTACACCTATAATCCAAGTACTTTGGGAGACCAAGGAAGGAGGACTGCTTGAGGCCAGGACAACACAGAGAGACCTTGTCTCTACAAACTAAATTAAAAATAAAAACAAGATTTTTTTATCCTTAAGGCATGAACAACATTAAAATAAATTTATAACACTTTAAAGTATTATGGAAGCACAGAATAACGATTATGCCCAAAGGGATATTAAAATAATTCCTAGAGCCAGGTGCAGTGGCTCACACCTGATATCCCAGTACTTCGGGAGGCTGAGGCAAGAGGATTGCCTAAGCCCAAAGAGTTCGAGATCAGCCTGGGGAACTTGGTGA